TGGCCGAAAAAAAAAAAAAAAAAAAAAAAAGTCTACGTGTCACATGGGTCACTATGTGACCTAGCAAAATTGTATAAAACAATTCTAAAGGTGTAAATAATTACAAAAGAACCACATTTACATAAATAGTTTACAAAACTACCCTACAAGGGTAAAAAGCCTAAGGAATTTTAATCATGAAAGTGCAATGCAGCATTGATCTCTGGTTTTCTAGCACTAGAACTAAAGCATCAAACCATACAGTTTACGGACAAGGGATTATTTGAGAAAGATAAATCTATATGGAACAAAATCACACACCTTGAGATTTAATACGGCCAAAGTCCTAGTTGGTGAGGAAAGCTGATCACTGATGTTGACCATATGGTTAAACAATGGTTCCAAGGTAACTTTTGAGAGATTAAACTTAACCACTGATTCTGTTGACGGAATCCTGCTATAATCTTGCAACTGCATTTGAAATATTTTCAAAGGACTTAGGATCCTCACGTTGTTGTTATTTGTTAAAATGTTGCAAGAGGATAAAAAAAAGGATACCCTGCCACAGTTAAATGTTACAGAAGATATTTATACATGCAAATGGGCCAAGGTTATTTGAGTCTCAGAAGCTTTTCATGCAAAACCACATGTATCTAAACCTACTATAAACTAAATTATGAGTACAAACTACAAAGCATACCTTAAGATTGATAGCAGCCACTCGATTCCCTGGAGTTGAGTTCTTCTTCTCCATTACCCACGTCAATGATTTCAGACATGGATAACCAACCTACATGATAGAACCCATGGGACAAGTTTAATGCCATGCAGTCCAATAATCCCACAAATATATCACATATATGAGGGTTGGAGGGGAGGTTCTCTTTCACATACCATGTTTTCAGGTGGACCGTCATCTCGCTGAAGAGACACGGGGGTCATTTGTGGTAAATTTAGATCAGCAACTGATTGAACAGGAGTACCAGCATCATTAAGATTAAACCTGTTTGTCGTTTCATCATGTAATGGCCATAAAAGAGGGGTTGTAACTGTTGTTGAAGTGGGGGATTTTCTGTCATCATAAGCAATCCCACTGACTGGATGACTGGGTAGGGGAACTTTGGCAACACTTCTCTTCATGAAAGAAATCTTCTTTCCACCTTCTCTAAGAGCACTAATTGCAGCATCATAAGTTTCCACAGTTACCGCACCTTCTTCAGCATATTTGATAGCTTCCCAACAAAGATTGCCATACCGTGATGTCAAAGATTCATGCCCATGTGATTCACCAGCAAGTTCACCTGACCCAGTATTGCTTTTTGCATTTCTTGTCCACCGTTTTAAAATGTAATGAGATGGTAATGTAAGTACATTAGTCACAGTAAAAACAGTTAGAACATGTCTACATAGAACGCCTGAATACTCAAACATTTGGCAACTACAGTTAGCTCTCAACTCAGAAAGGTTTAATGTGACCATATAAGCCTTTTGGTCATCCTCAAATTTTGCAACCCTGAATATGCTGTTTGCTCCATCTTCTTCAATTCTGTTGGCAGTATAAGCAAAAGTTTCAACTAGCTCTTGTTGAAACTTTGCAAATATTTTTCGTGTATAGAGATTAGCAGCCTGCTTCTCCATGGGGGAAGGTGTCTTCAGAACAGGGGTGGTGCAAATTGTTTCATAATCTAATTCTAATTCTTTTTCAAACCAATACTCCAAAGCTCGTTCATACTGCCTAAAGAACATAGGTAATGTTGTCTGCTGGTTGACAAAACCATCAAAAAAAGAACCATCAAATCCTTTATTAGGAGTTATTACTGCAAAAAATGAATCACGAAAATATGCTGGAACCCATTGAGCACGAGCACTGTACAAGGACTGAAGCCAATCATTTCTTCCGAGTTCATATTTATTGATGATAGAACTCCAAGATGAATCAAACTCCTCGGTTGTTTCTGTCAGATTAATACAATTATAAAGTTCAATCTGAAAATTTGGATGCATGTTGCATACATGGGCCAACTTTTCCTGGCCTTCTCGCAAGACATGCCATTTGCATATACGGTGGCGTGTTTCAGGAAAAACTTGTGAAACTGCTGTCTGTATAGCTCTGTCTTGATCAGTAGTGATAGAGACAGGGTAACGGTCATTCATTGCTGTCAGGAATGTCTTAAAGAGCCATACAAAAGAAGCTTCAGAATCATCCAAAAGGATTGCACAACCAAACAAAATCATCTGACCATGATGGTTTACCCCAGTGAATGGAGCAAATGGCACTTTACATTGATTTATTCGGTATGTTGTGTCCAGAGTAACTGCATCACCAAAATGACAGTAAGCAGTCCTTGATCTTGCATCGGCCCAAAATACATTAGACATATGATTATCTTCATCAAGTTGTATTGCATAGAAGAAACCAGGGTTCTCAGCTTGCATTTTCTTTAAGTATTCCAGCAGGTTCTGAGCATCCCTCCCTAATGTCCTTTTTCGAGTAGGTAGCCTAACAGCATAATTCATCAATGTAGGAGTTTTAACCGGGTGAATTGTTTCAGCAGCAGCAGTAGCTGCAGGAATATTCCTCATCCCATGAATATTCTTAGTGGGAATTGCATTCCTATCCATAGAGACATACATCACACCAGTTGGAACAAGCCCCACTCCTTGGTAAGTTTCGGGCATGGTTTTTCCAACACTAGAAAAGTGCTTACCTGGCCTAGTGTTATGCAACTTACTAAGGCTTTCCATGGAATGGCTATGCTCCTTTACAAATTTTGTAACAACCCACTTATTTTGACCCATCTGCTCGATCCTTACCATTGCATTGCAACTTTCAGTAGGCTTTCTTTTCAAATCCGCCCTTCCACACATAAATTCCCGGTACATATTTGCCCCATCCGCTTTGGAACGACCATGCAGGCCAACTTTGTAGCTGAAACCCACTCGCCTGGCATACTCACTATAGAAAGTCTTTGCAGCATCTTCAGAATCAAACTCCATACCCACATATGGCTCAGAGACCCCAACTTCAACATGAGAACCAGAGTTTTCAGCATTATTAACTCCACCTTCACTAGGCTCAGTATCCCCATCATCTGTCATAGCTTGATGGTTACTTCCTTCTCCCATGTTTTAAAACAATTTATACTGCTAAATCATCGAGCACCTATTTCATAAGTACTTGTACGTGGCAAGAGTTGCAGGCTTTAATCCTACCAATTATAAAGCAGCATTAACTTAAATGCCGAGAAGCAGCAAGTAAACCCAAAATTAAACAATGCAGCATTTCACCTAAAATATCCTGAACAATGGAGTGTAGCAAAACAATGAAAAGAAACGGGGAGGGGGGAGTGAGCTTCTTCAGAATAAAAGAAAATTGCCATTTACCAAGTTAAGGTTTTACGTAGTGACATGAAAACAACCCTGTCCCATAAAAAACGAATCTTATTTAAAGAGCTACGATAACCATTCAAAATTCACAGGTATTAGAAATTTTATATGGCCAAAAACAGTGCTAATGGAACAAAAGTTCAATGTCAAATAGGTTTAAGCTAAACATTTTAACTACAACAGAAAATTTTAACAATCAATTAACTATCAGAATTTTAAATTCTGATTCAACCTAAAATCGCATCCCTGAAGACGAAGTAACCAATAGAAGTTGCAAAATTTCAGTAAAATTCACAAAACTTGATAAAAAAAATCGACAAAACCGGTAACAGTCACGTGATTGATTTTACAAATTAAACGATTAATTGGAAGTCTTAACTTACAGCGATGAAAACTATGTGTTGCGAAAATAAAGCCAGTAAATTAATTTCAGTCTTCCGAATCGGGGGTTGAGGAATCGCAGTAACGCGTGAACGGTTAGTGAACAAAACGACCGTGTTTAGGAGAGAGTTAGGGTTTGTGGTTGTGCAGCTCCGGGAGGTTGCAGAGTCGGAGGAGGAGGAGGAAGCGTGAGAGTGAGTGGGTGTGGTGTTGCATAGGTTTGATAAGAATACGCACGTGATAGACACCGTTTGATCTACATCGGACGGCTATTATTAGCTTAGATCGAAATACATTTAAAATGGAAAGTTCATTCAGTTTTGTTTCTTTTGTGGTGGGATTTATCGGGTGCACTGTGCACCATCCATCCATGTAACATTTACAACCCTACATCTTAATATCGATCACTAATCACTATGAATAAACCATCCATTATCATTTAGAAATTTAATAAGTACTATCATTTTCTCTCCAACTCTTAAAATTACATAAATACTTAAAAGTATAAAATATCTACTAATTTGCTATCTATATTTTTCTCTTTTTTATAATTACCTTTCGTTATTTATGCTTTGAGTTAATTACTTATACATTGTCAGTGTAAATTTTTTTTACACTTACAACAAATTATATCTTTTAATTATGTCATGTCACTGTTAAAGTAAATATGTTTATAGTGACATGACACAATTAAAATATATAATTGGTTGTCAGTGTAAAAATTTTTTACACTGACAATGTATAGGTGATTAACTCTCATATTTTTATCCTTTTATTGGAGTAAGTATGTTATTAGTGTGTTTTATACATTCTTAAATTCAGTTTATCATTAGTGTGTTTGATAAATTCTTTAAAAAATAAGTCTATAATTTTTTCAAGATTCGTGATTATTAAGAATAATCTAAATATAATTTTGTTTAGAAATATTTATATATGTTATTTTAGAATTAAAAGTATTTATGTGTCAAAAAAAAATTACTACATTAACTTAGTAGATAAAAATAATATAATATTTTCATTGTAATAAAAAAAAATTAACTAAAAATTATTATTTCTCTTGAGAATAGTTTTTGTAGAAAATTTATATAAAAAATTAAACCATATTTTCTAGAAATATTATTTTTAAATAATAAATAAAGCATAAAAATAATATTTTTAATTTTAAATAAGTGTCTAATAAACTACAAATTTCTTATGCACCAAACAATGTGCAAAACTAGTTATACACAAGTTCACAATAACCATAATCAATTGATTTTATCTTATTCTTAAAATTCAATCTATTTATTTATTTTTTTAAATATTTATTTTTATGTTTTATCTTTTAAATTTTAGTTAATTTAATTTTTTTAGAATAATAATTATTTTTAATTTTGAAACATAATTTTGAATTATTTTTTTGACTAATTTAAAACTTAAAATTTGTCTTATTTAATTCATTTACATGAAAACTAGAATTAACAAACTAATTTCAGATTATTTTGTAGTTGCTTGTATAATATATTTTTGACATAATTTACACTATATTTATTGGCATAAAAAAATTTGTGCTTCCGTGTATATTTTTAAAATAATATAAAAGTAAGTTGTTAATAATAAGTTTTTGAATAGGTATTATAAATATTATTTTTGAAAAAATGGTAGAGAAATAGAGAGTAGTTTGAGACTTTTAAAGGTGTAGTTTGAGAAGTAATTATAGAGATAAAGTTATTTATTATAAAAAAGTGTATATCCAATGGGTATAATCCACTTTATTATATATATATATATATATATATATATAT